TCAGTCAGCAAACTCCATACATTCAGTCAGTAAACTCTCGACATTTAGTCAGCAAACTCTATACATTCAGTCAGTAAACTCTCGACATTTAGTCAGCAAACTCTATGCATTCAGTCAGCAAACTCTATGCATTCAGTCAGTAAACTCTATGCATTCAGTCAGCAAACTCTATACATTCAGTCAGCAAACTCTATACAATCAGTCAGCAAACTCTATACATTCAGTCAGTAAACTCTCGACATTTAGTCAGCAAACTCTATACATTCAGTCAGCAAACTCTATACATTCAGTCAGTAAACTCTCGACATTTAGTCAGCAAACTCTATACATTCAGTCAGCAAACTCTCGACATTCAGTCATTGATTTATTGCATTAAGTGTTACTCCATAAATTAAGCGAAGTGATTCAATATATATAATCAGATACTACAGCTGCGCCACCACTCACTTCATGTTGATAACATTCATTTTCAAGTATTTACTGAAGTCTGGTACAAGAGAACAAGAGGGATTGCTTAATATGTTATTTTGTATCTGGTAAAATATATTATGGTTAATAGCACTTGTAGTGTATTATGCAAGTCAGGTTATTTTAACCTTTCCATCAAACAAGAGTAATTTAAGTGAAATTTACTTTTTCCGTTGTGAACGTATCTTATCAATACATTTTAGTAATTGTATTTAACAATTACATAATAGTTTTAGTTTGATAATCAGATAGTTGTGTTAATAGTTTTAGCTAGTGTTATTGATTAGTTTTATATTTGTGTTGAAAGTGTTATTTTCTTATTTATATAATAGATATAAAAATTCTCTGTCTGCAAATACCTTGCCAACCATTTGTTTACGGGGGTTGCAGATTTTTCTTCAAAATAATTGTACCCATCTTCCTGAAGATTAATATAATTCTAGAATGACAGATATGCAGTGCACCACCGGGTCAAATGCATACTTTCTCTCTTTGAAATAAACCTAGCGGTGGCGACATAGAACACTGCCTGTAGACATTTTATTTGGAATACTTTTGAGATATAAATATATGAATTCGCTTCAGATCAGTTGTACATGGATTGCGTTTCGGAAGACAAACCTGCTCTGAAAATGTATTTATCTCATAGTGTTCACGTGACGGCTGCAGGCGATTTTCTTCGTATGTCACAAAACAAACGTTTCCCACCCATGGATCATTTTATTTATAGATTCTATTTTCAAATATTTTTCATGTATTACATAATAAGTTTAAAAAGAAATATTTACGCCAGAAAATGACGTAATTTGACCATCTGTATTTTAAACACCGATCCGAAACTGGGAGATTAGCAGATTGTTTGCCTTCCCGTACATCGATTAATCGTCCTAAGACAATGTCTCAGTAGAGTCACTTCCGAGTGGAACCCAGCTCAATCTGAAGCCGGTCTATAAGGGTGTTTCAAATTAAATTCATTAACCTACTGCATTAAGGGGTTTTATAATAAAAGATCAGGGGTCAGGGGTTACAAGTTCTTCCCAGCTTTTTAATGGAACGGTCCATAATTAAAGTATGTGATTGGCTGTAATATAACTTTATATCAGTGGATTCCAAACTTTATCAGTTAATAGTAATAACAAGACGGTAACCTCATTGGCGATACTCTTCACCGAATTTTCCCCCTATGTTTCCATATTAGTAATAGTACACATTATAAATGAGATATGCCCGAGATTTTGTACGAGTATACATTTTGCATGGCAATGAAAACAGATATAAAGAAAAAAAAAAGTAACTTTGGGCCAACACTCAAGCTGGTTAGAATGACATATGTCAGCCGTTTTTATTTCAAGATTTGTAGGAGGAGTTACTTTTGGCGCGAAGATATTCAACAATTATTTTTTGGCTGTTGCCATGGGAACGGTGCGCCATGATTTTTTTTTCAAATTGTACTCGCCAACTAGAGTGCGGGTGTGGCTTGCCCCCCAATTTTCCGCCAGCCAAAATCGGCTTACCCAAAAACTCAAAAATCACAGAAAAGTGATACGTACAGGTGCCACACACACACACGGAGCGTTAGGTGAAACACCCTAAATGAACGACGATTAGCATCGCCTTCTGTTGACTGAAATTTGAAAGAAGGAAGTTGGAGACAATTCCGTTACCCCGATACTAAATG